ATTTTAAGTGTTCACATTGAGATTTCGTAAATGTCCCGGAGGGGTGAAAATTTTGAAAAGTTCCGGGAGTTCTGATAGGAGTTCTAGGTAGCACCTCACGAGTTCTAACGAAAATGATTAAGGCTCGAAGTCGTAAAACTAATATTTAAGAAAAGTGCGCGATTTGAAGTGTTCACATTGAGATTTCGTAAATGTCCCGGAGGGGTGAAAATTTTGAAAAGTTCCGGGAGTTCTGGCAAGAGTTCTGAATAGCACCTCACGAGTTCTGAAAGATATTTTAATAAAGTTTTTAGATACGTGCATTCGTTTAATAGTTATTGCAAATTTTGTGATCTCGTTTTGTGAACTTAGCACCCCAAAAAGTCGATATCGATGCCTATTTTTGCGGAACTTTTAATAAAAATGGTAGAGAACTATAGAACTCAATGGGGTGCAATGGGAACTCAAGAGAAATTTGAAGTTTTAAAAAAATGAGGTGCTAACTTCACAAACGCGAATTTTTAAAACTTAATTCTTTAAGATTATTTCAAAAATTAATTCTCAAGAACTGAAAGTGATTTTTCAAAACGGCTTTTTGCATTAAAAAGAGGATAGTTTAATTAATAATTAATTGGTGATATTTCTACAAGGATCTATACGTTACTTTTCGCCGTTTTGAACCACTGTGGTGGTCCAAATTACAGCCATCTCTGGCTGTAATTTGGAGGAGAAATGATTTTGAACAAAAAGACACAACTTAATTTTTGCTGAAAAATCAGCCTTGAAATCTTTGGCATCAATTTAGAAACACTTGTATATACAAATATCTCGTCTTGTTCGACTTTTCTTATAATTTTTTAAGAATCAACACTGAAGAGTTGCTCGGAGAAAAATTAGAATACATACATTTCTGGCTTATTTAAACATTGATAATTGAATTTCGATGAACAAATCAACGGGAAGGATGAAATTTTTTATAAATAACGTGATATCATTGATCACGATTTAAAATTCGCGGGTATCGATACAATTCATTTTGCTAGTGGCGCCATCTCTCGATATGAACAGTAATAGTATTTTTTGGGTAAAATATTTGCGTTGATTATTATTATGCGTAAAAAGCACAAATCAAAACAAGTATTTGTGATAAATGGTTTCATTTTAAAACAACACAATCGTTTGTAAAAACCGAATTTGGTAATTCCGCCGCGACGTTACCGATTTTCTAGTTGTTTTTTCTTGATATTTCTCGATATAATCGGTGTAAATACATGTGAAACGTGTAACAACTCCAACATAATACCGTTTTTAGGTACGTTAAAACCAAGTCTTTTTTTGGTTGCATCGTCCTTATTGTTTATAAACGCGGTTTCACTAGCAAAATGGGCAAGTTAATCTTATAAATACTATTTCAAAACAAACTGCGTACATAACCTCAAAAATTATCTTCAAATACGTCAACATTTAATAACATTTTTTCTACGTGTTTTTATGACAATTTTATTTCTTATTCGAGTCAAATCTATGCAAAAAGATTCTTAGTTAATATTTTTTATGTAAGAGACGGTATTTGTATAAATTCTTAGAAATTAAGGTTAGTTTTGAGTTTAACAAACAACGATTACGTCATAAAGCGTAGTATGACCTTATAAATAATTAATTCACGCTTTTCCTCGATTTATATGTCGCGTGTATACTTTTAAATATTTTAATAAATATATATATATTCCTTTATTACAATTTTCTGATATTTGTTATTATTTTAAAGTTTATAATTTCTATTTGCATATTAAGCAAATTTTTTAAAATGCACAATCTAAACAGTTTTTTGTATAAACTCATACGATTTTAGTTCATTCTCAATCGCAATAAGAGTCGAATTTAAAATTTTTCTATTTGTTGTTATTTCTAGTCATGAATGACGCAAATATGGAAACTCCGTTGGAACGGAGTCAAATAGTGAAAGAAGGTTGGCTGTATAAACGCGGGGAACACATCAAAAATTGGAGGCCACGTTATTTCATCCTTTTTGATAATGGAGACTTGATTGGATTCAAGAACAAACCGGATAATCAATTATTAAACGACCCCTTAAATTGTTTTACCGTCAAAGACTGCCAGATTATGTCCGTCGATCGACCTAAACCTTTCACATTAATTATAAGAGGGCTTCAATTAACTACCGTCATTGAAAGAATGTTCCATGTTGAAGGAAAAGCTGAAAGGTAAATTTAGATTTATTGTTGTTATTTTTAACCCTATAAGAGGTACATAAACTGTAAAATATTTGAATACACATAATTCAGGGCACTAACCATTGTGGGGCTCCAGGCGGTAGATCTTTGTGCAAAGTATGTGAATTGAAAGTAGGTATTTCAGATAATTGATGAAAAGTGCAAAGGTTTTAACCCCTTACTGCATGATTACTGCATAACTCCTACTCAAAAGTTCACAAACCATTGAAAATATTCTGCTTTTCAAAAGAAATGAACCACCCCATAGGAGTAGGCGAAGAACTTTGAAAATATGTAGAATCAGTTAGTATCTAGGACCCTACGCCGTTTACAAGTTGTGCTATAGAAGTGAGGACTTTTGGGAATTTGTTGAATAAGTCAGGATGGCGAATATGTTTACTTTGTTCATTTCGAAACTATCTAAAAAAGTTCTACTTCTTTATCTGATGATGTGAACAAGACGTATATGTTACCAGCAATCTGTATAATCCGGTATTCTATACAATACCTAGGCAATTTATAGAATACCTAAAACGGTTAGGTAATACATGAAATATTATTAATTTTATACTTTGCCTAGGTATTCTATAAAATACCGAATGCGAAGCAGGCAATGTGTGTAAAAGGTAAGAAAAGGAAATATCTTTGGTATATGTTTACCTCTCGATCATACTCATAACCTGGAGAGTGAAGAGGATCTAGAAAATGTGATTAAGTCATCACCAAGTATTCCCATGAGGCCAGTAGATCTACTATTACTTGATTACTTATAAGCAAAAGACATTATGTTAGTTAACCCAGAAAAATTTTAAGTTATGTAATTTAGTTGTGATTTTACTATAGTTACAGAAAGGTACTAGGTGCCTTCTTTGTACAATAACTTATAGATTATAAAAAAGTTTATTATGTGTAAAAATGGATAAATACAGACCAAAATCTATTTATTTTACACATTGCCAGTCGACGAACAGGTACTCTATGTAATCCTTAGGAATTGTATACATTACTTAGGTAAAGTATCTAATGGACAATAATCTTCATAATATTTCATACATTGCCTAGACACCCCAGGTGTTTTATAGATTACCTAGGCATTGTATAGAATACCTGAATTATACAGATTGACGGTAACATATACATTCTGTAGCAGGTTAAATTTTTCTGCTCTTAATACATTTGTAATATATTCTGCTTTTCAAAAGATATGAACCACCCCATAGAAGTAGGCGAAGAATTATGTAGATCAGTTAGTCCATGTAGAAAAACAAATGATTAAATTTCGACAGTCATCTGCCACAGCTGATAGAAATTATCTGTCTGTTAGGTCCTGAAATTGCGTGTTGTTGAATAGCATTTTTTAGAGTAGTTCGCCGTTTGTTTGTGATTGTTGTCATTGCATTAGTAAAGTTAGTGTCTCAAAAATGCCACGAGTTCAAATTTTCGCCATCGAAAGAGGACGAATCATCGGGATGCATGAGGCTGGTTTAAGTTTTCGGGAAATTGGCAAACGAATGGGCCGACCTCACTCCACTATCAAACGGACTTGGATGGATTGCCAGGAAGAACGCTTAGAAACCCGTCGTAGAGGCAGTGGACGTCCTAGAGTGATAGAAGCACGCGAAGATCGGCTGTTAAGGCGAAGTGCAATACAAGAAGATTGGATACCAGCAATTGGTCGCAGAGTGTCTATGAGTACGATTTATCATCGAGTACGCACATTTGGGTTACGTTCATATCGTCCTTATTTTTGTCTTCCTATGACTCAACAATATAAAGATGCCAGACTGCAGTGGAACCAAAACCGACAACATTGGGAACATGAATGGGAAACTATCGTCTAATGTTTACGGATCAGACGACCTAGAGGTCAGAAGCAAAATGTACAGTTTGTTCAGAGTCGCCACACGGCTCAAACTTCTGGTGTAATGCTGTGGGGAGTAATACGCTACGGTGGCAGGTCTTCTTTGACATTCATTCAGGGCACCCTAAACGCGCGCCGTTATATTGACGCCATTCTGGAGCCCGTGTTAGTGCCTTTCCTCCAAGACCTTCCAGAGCCCGTTTTCCAACACGATAATGCGCAACCTCATATTGCTCACGTAACGTTAGAGTTTCTAGCACAAAACAATGTTCTGCAATTGCCTTGGCCGGCAAGATCCCCGGACTTAAACCCTATTGAACATGTCTGGGATATGATGGACAGAAAATTGCGTCGATTACCCCATCCTCCCAACACTTTAGAGGAATTACGTCAACAGCTACTGGTAGCCCGGAATGAGCTGCTCCAAGAGGCAATCGACCATCTGATTTCCAGCATGCCACGAAGGGTTACTGAATGTATAAGAGTACGCGGAGATGCAACACATTATTAACGATATTGTCAATAAATATTGTCATTTGTTTATGAAAATTTAATCATTTGTTTGTCTCTAGGCACTAACTATCTACGTAATTTTGAAGTTCTGCGTCTCCTCCTTCGGGGTGGTTCATTTCTTTTGAAACCCAGTGTATGTATACAGGTGCCTCATGTAAGCAACAAAGTATATAAATGGCATTAAGCAGCCGAGATACGCAGTTCTTCCATAGACAAAAATTTTAGGAAATTTAGCACTGATCAAGCTAGAAAGTTAAAATTTGTGATAGTTGCTGCTTAGATGTCCTTAAATAGAGTGCCATTGGCTACATCGGTCTATCTTATACAGGCTGTTCAATAATGTATCTACTGTTTTTACCATATTCAATTGTAAAAAGGTCGAACATTTTAAATGGAACAACCCATATTTGACTAGTTAAACAGATAGAGAATTTAGTTTTCTACAAATTTTTAGTACATGTCCCTATACCTATCAGATGTAGTTGTTGAGATATTGCGGAATTAATCAATATCATGCAAAGAATGGCAGAACTTGTTCATTTTTTCATCAGTAGGCCATAAAATAAGATGATAAATAATTCTCAACTAAACTTTATTTATAAGTGTTCAAATATCTGTCATCTGTGCTTTATGCATAGATGAAGTCGATTTACTAATTCTGCTTGCACATTATCTAGTGTTTCAGCAGAGATACACTGTTGGAAATAATTCACGAGCACACCCTGTATAATCTGAACGCGTGTGTCTAGCGCAATAAAATTTGGTATGGCAGTAGTACTAAAGTAGTATAACTTACTCTCACATGGAGAACGGCACAACTCTGCTGGGAGGAGAAACATCAATAGCGAGAGTATCCCCCGTGAGCTTCGCGTACCATCGCTACACGACGTGGCATGGAGTCTATAAGTCGCTGTATTGTAGCGAGAGGGATGGCCAACCATGCCACCTCAACTCGCCTCCATAGCTCCTCAACGTTAGCCGAGGAAGCCGGATAACGTAGAAGTCTCCGACCAGTCATGTCCCAAACATGTTCGATCGGATTCAGATGCGGAAACCGAGCTAGCCATGGAAGCATTCGTATACGGTGCTCTTCCACAAAGGTCTGTACAACACGCCCGATGTGCTGTCGTACGTTGTCGTGCATGTATAGCAGACCTGGGAGCCGCCGAACGTAGGGAAGCACAACGGACCGTAGCACCTCATCTACGTATCGTTGACCCGTCATGGTCTGCTATACACGCAGCAGACGTGTACGTCCACCATATGTAATCGCACCCCATACCATAATGCTCGGTTGTCGGTGGATAGGGCGTTCTTGCACACACTGCTCGAGTAGACGATCACCACGGCTCCGACGAACTAAAATTCGCGCATCACCGGTGCTCAATTCGAATCTTGATTCGTCGGAAAACAAAATGTCCCTCTACTCGGCAACCTACTAATGCCTAGCGTCGACCCACTCGTGACGTATGCTGCGGTGCTCGGGTGTTACTGGAATCCGCTGTATCGCACGACGCGCTCGCAGTCCACTATCTACCAAACTACGCGAACTGTACGGCGGACAGTTCGCGTAGTGAGTGCGCCTTCCCATGCCGGTGGCAAAACAGCTCCAAGTTGTCTTGAGGAGGACACACACGACGCTAAAGCGCTGAGCACAAGAGCGCGATCCTCGTGTGCTGGGGACGCGCAGGGCCGTCCCGGCCGCGGCTGAAGGTACCTATGTCCTACCTCAGACCATTCTCACCATGCCCGTTGCACTGCCGAAAACGACCGCTCGAGACGAAGCGCAATTTCACAGAACGATACACCCTCAATGTGCATACCCACAAACATTCCTCGCTAAAACTCGCTTAAGTAACGCGATCGCCCATCCATTGCGCACAGAGTACGATAACAATGTGGTCCCCCACACCACACTAAAAACGACCGGTATTTTGCATCCACTTCGGTCTCCATAGCGACGGAATGTTCCACTTGGAAGGGCGGCTCAGTCAACAATGCCGCGACAGAACAACTCGAAACTCCCTGAATAAACTCGACTACAGTAAACCTGTGTGCTCCGCAAATATTATGGATTTATCTTCACGCGTTCAGATTATATAGGGTGTGCTCGTGAATTATTTCCAACAGTGTATTTCTAAAGCTTTCCCTTATTCTATTCTTCATACCTTCTTTCGTCGTTGGAATATGTACCACTTGGGTTTTGAGTTTTGACATATCCCCGAAGGAAGAAGTCGCGGGGAGTTAGATCAGGTGATCTTGCGGGCCACGGTATTGGACCTCCACGACTAATCAAAAGTTTTGAAAAACGTTCCTAAAATAATGTGCAGGTGCCCCATTGTGTTGAAATATTACTTTTTATCTAGTTTCCAAATCTACATGTTCTAGCAACTTTGGCAACTCTTCTTCTAAAAATGTTTTGCAAATTTGTCCCGTCAGTATGCCTAATTATTTTACGGTTAAATATTCTGCCCCAAACATTTAACGACCATACATTTTGACTATTTGCGCGCCTTAGTCATAGAGGATTTTCGGTTGCATAATAATGCATATTATGTCGGTTTACTAACCCGTTACTTTTAAAACTAGCTTTATCACTAAATAGAATTGATGATAC